TGTTGGGGGTGCTTTCCTCCCCTTCTCTCTCTCTCAGCCATGGAAGAAGTAAAACAACTTTAAAAAATAAAAATAGGGCCAGCAGGTGCCGAGGTGGTTAAGGTTTTGCATTCCCACATGGCTGACCACAGTTTGAGTCCCAGACCTGGCGGCTTGGTTTCTCGCTTTCCCGTTTTTTCTTTCTCTCTGGTTAAATTCAAAACAATAATAATACTAATAATAAATAAAATAAAATGAATCATTTTAATTTTAAAAAATGAAAAATAGGGCCAGCAGGTGGCACCAGAAGTTAAGGCAGCTAGATCTCATATGGCTGACTGTGCAGTTTGAGTTCCAAACCCAACAGCTTGAAAATCGTGTCAGACGTATATGCATGCGTGCCCACAATCCCGAGAGACTGGCAGAGAAAGAACTGTAGTATAGCCATCCCCCAAAGGGGTAATTTCTCACTTTCTCTCTCTCCCTCTATGGTGAGCGTATGTCCTCTATAGCTAACTAAAAAAATAATAATTTAAAAAATTAATTACAATTTTAAAAATAATTAATACAAATATTAAATCAAAAAAGTCAACCCAAACCCCTCTTTTTTCATATTTGAATAGAAAAGTATCAGCATAGTGTCACAATTTATTTTTCTGTTTTGTTTTTTTTAAGACAGATTTTTCTAATAGGGTACATGCACTTGCCCGAGAGACAGAGAAAGACAGAGACAAAAAAGTGAGAAATCACCCCACAGAGGCCAAAATCCCTTTTCCTCCATTCTCCTCTTGGGATCTTGGGCATGCACACACACATGCCTGGCATGAATTTTAAGCCACCAGGTCTGGGACTCAAACCATGGTCAACAATGTGGGAGTCCAACAATGTAACCATTACGTTATCTGATGGTCCCTATTTTTCTCTTTTTTAAAAGTACATTTTTCTGGGCCAGCCAGTGGCATGCTGGTTAAGGAGGCCGGATCTCACATGACCAACTACAGAGTTTGTGTCCTAGGCCCAGTGGCTTGAAAAATATGCCAGGTGCACATGTGCATGCCCAGGTGCTGCCCAAAATCCTGAGAGAATGAAGAAGGGATTGCAGCATGGCCATCCCCCTTGGGAAGGGGGCGCTCTTACTCCCCCACCTTGGGCCATCTCTCACCAGTAAGTACACGTGCCATAAACCAAAAGAAAAAAAAAAAAAAAACACCTCTTTTCCTTCTTGAAACACTGCACAGTGAAAAGTTTTAAAGCAAAGACAACTCAATGAACACAATTTTACCCAGATGATAGTCTTTAATAGCATATATTGGGGCCAGCAGGTGGCTTGGCAGTTAAGGCAGTGGACTCCCACACAGCTGACAACAGTTCACATCCTGGACCTCGTGGTTTGCTCACCTTCCCTCTCTCTCTCTGTCTGTCTCTCTCTCTGGTCATATTAAAATAATCATAATAATAATAAATAGCATTAAATTAATAAAATAATTATTTTTTTAAAAATAGCATTTCTCAGGACCAGCACTTAGCATAATGGCTATGTCGCTGGACTCCCACGTAGTCGACCGCGGTTTGCATCCTGGACCGGGTGGCTTAAAACTCACGCCGGGCGCGTGTGCGTGCGTGCCCAAGATCCCGAGAGGAGAATGGAGGAGAAGGAATTGCAGCATGGCCATCCCCCCCGGGGGGTGATTTCTCGCTTTCTGTCTCTCTGTCTCTCTCTGTCTGTCTGGCGAGCACATATACGCTTTAGCAAAAACCTCTCAAAAAAAAAATCGAAAAAGGAAAAAAAGTAGCATTTCTTAGGCCAATAGTTAAGGGACCCAAAGTCTACATTGTCACCCACATTGTTCAAATTCTGGCCTTGGTTGCTTAAAAAACACGCCAGGCACATGTGTGTGCATATGCAGAATACTGATAAGACAGACAAATAGAGGAGAAGATATTTCAACATGATCACATATCATTGGGGAAACTCTCTCCTTCTCCCTTTCTGTCTGTCTCTCTCTGGTGAGCTCACACACCCTCTGGCAAATTAATAAATAACATTTCTCACTAAAGGGAATCAGGGGTCTTTAGAGAACTGTCTGGTTCCAGATTTACGCTAAAGATGCATAAGAGGAGTCCAGACAGTGGCTCAGTCGTCAGCACAACACTCTCAGGGCTGACCCACATGGGAAGGGCCCAGGTTTGTGTCTGGGGACCTCCCTGAGTGCACCAGGACCTCGACTGCCCATGATCCAGGGGCTGGCTGAAGCTGGGAGTAGATGGCAGCGTTGAGATCCTGTTGGATGTGCCTATCTCTCTTTGTCTCTGTCTCTCTCTTTCACTCATGGAAGAAAGAAAAAAAAAACAAAAAAATTAAAAGATGCATAAGAAAAGCCTGGAACATCTTGTTCTGTCTAAAAGTAGGACAATTACCAGGATCTTGTCCAAAGGGCATGTTCATCTAGAAAGGCTATAACTAACCAAAGATGGGGACATCTGAACCTCGAAAAGAATGACAACTATAAAAGTATAAGTTACAACAAACATACCTAAAAATATAGGAGGCAAAAAGTAAAATGTAATATAAAAATGTGTAAAATGTAAAACTAATATAAAATGGTTAACCACTCTAGAAAAGTTTGACAGTTTCTTTAAAAATTAAATGCTGGGACCAGCAGATGGTGTAATGGTCATGCTGCTGGACTCCCATGTAGTTGACCACGGTTCGGGACTTAAATCCACACTGAGCATGTGTACATGTGTGCCAAAGGTCCCAAGAGGTGCAGGAACAGTGGCATGGCCACCCCGCCTGGGGGCGACTTCTTGCTTCTGTCTCCCTGGTGAGTGTACACACTCTATAGCAAAAATCTCTCTCTAAAAGAAAAAAAAAAAAAGAAAATTCAATGCTGCCCAGTAGTGGTGACCTGAGCAGGAGGGTATAGTCCTAGCTAACAGGGAGACTAGGACAAGGCGATCACAGGCAAGATCTCACCCAGAAAATTACAGCTTCTCTCTGTCTCTCCCCTCACGTGCTCCCTTGCTCATATGCTCTCTCATGAAAAGAAAAATAAATAAATAAAATCCACTCCTTATTTACCATACCACTCAGCCATTTCTATTTCTAGATATCTATCCGAGAGAAATAAAAGCACGTGATCACACAAAAACAAGTATAGAGATGTTCACAGCCCCATTATTCATGACAACCTACAATCAGAAATAAAATGACAAATGGAAATAAAATGAAAGTGGGGACCAGCAGGTGGCATGGTGGTTAAGGTGCTGGACACTCCCACATGGCTGGACCTGGTGGCTTGCTTTCTCACTTTCCCTCCCTCTCTCTTTCTCTCTCTCATGGTGTGTGTCTCTCTCTGGTCAAATTAAAAAAAATGAATGAACACATAAAATTAAATAAATCTTTCTTTAAAAAAAAAGCTGGAACCTTGCTGGTTTCCAGTTCTGCCACTCAGCAGCTCTGCAACCTTGTCCTGTTTCTTCATCTCTAAAATGGGGATAATATTTATATCAGTACCTGGCTCCTAAGGTAATACAAGGATTAAATTAATAGATTCATGGGAAGTACTTAGGAAAGATGCCTGGCCTGGAGGAAGCACTTAGTTTGTGTTAACTATTATTAGATGGGAGTCCAGCGACAGCCATTACACTAACTGCTGGTCCCAAAATGAAATAATTCTTTAAAAAAATGAAAGTGAGTAAGAAAATGGAAAACAAATTGTGGCATATCTATACAAAGGAACAGTACTCAGTGCTAAAGTTTATGTTCCCCCCAATCTCATCTATGTTGAAACCTACTGCCCAATGTGTTGGCATTAGGAGGCAGGGCCTTTGGGAAGTGATCACATTATAAGGGCAAAGTCCTCATGAATGAGATTAATAGTCTTAGGAAAGAGGACAACTCAACTGGAGAGTGACAGAGAGGGAAAGTGAGAAAGCAAGCCACCAGCTCCAGGACTCAAACCACAGTCAGCCATATGGGAGTTCAGTGCCCTAACCACCATGTCACCTGTTGGCCTCCCAAAAAAACTTTTTAAGTATAGTTCAGTAAAACTAATTATAAAATAAGTATTAGATGATGCTGAGGAATTCTTATTAATGCTATCAAATGTGATAATAGCATTTTCTTTCCAGTCCTTGTCCATTAAAGAGATAGGATAAGAAAGTATTTACAAGTAAAACCAGGTGGCATTTGGGGCTTGCTTTCAGGTACTGTGCACACACATATACACAGAGTGGCAGAAGAAAAATGAAAAAATATGGGAGCAGCAAATGGCATAATGGTTACATCCCTGGACTCCCACACAGTCAACCACGGTTCAAGTCCCAGACCCAGCAGCTTAAAACTCCCAGGAGGTGTGTGGTTCTGTGTGTGTGTGCATGCCCAAAATCCTGAGAGGAGAATGGAGAACGGATTGCAGTGTGGTAATCCCCCCTGGGGGGTGATTTCTCGTTTATGTCTCTTTGTCTCTCTTTCTCTCTCTGGCAAGTGAACATACCCTATAGAAAAATCTCTCTAAAAAAATAATTTAGGGACCAGCAGTTAGCGTAATGGCTATGTCTCTGGACTCCCACGCAGTCGACTACGGTTCATGTCCCAGACCTGGTGGCTTAAACTCACACTGGGCGTGTGTGTGTGCATGCCCAAGATCCCGAGAGGAGGATGGAGGAGAAGGGATTGCGGTGTGGCCATCCCCCCTGGGGGTGATTTCTCGCTTTCTGTCTCCCTGTCTCTCTCTGTCTGTCTGGCGAGCGCATGCGCCCTATAGCAAAAACCTCTTCAAAAAGAAGAAGAAGAAGAAGAAGAAGAAGAAAAAGAAGAAGAATTTTAAACATTAAAAAAGAATGGCAAGATGTTGGTAATAGTGAAAGTTAGATCTTGTTTGTTGGGCTTCATTATAATATTTCTCTTCTTTAATACATTTTTGCAATTTTCTATATTAAAAAGATTTTATTTTTTAACTACAAGGCAACCTGGAGCAGTTAAGATGTTGGCAATAACAGGACTCAAAGCAACTAACCTCTGTCCCGACGCGAGGGCAATAGGGGACTGTCCATTGGGGGGCCGAGGCTCCTCACACGTCTTCATCTCCACCTCTACCTTATCCAGACACTGAAACAAAAGCCACAGCGAGCTGAGCGTCTGCACAGAGCCCCACGGCCCGAAGGAAGACAGCACAGTCCGTCTTAGCCCTCTCTGTGCTCTGGTGCCTAGAACAGTACCGCACCCGATAAACACCTGCCGAATACAGGAGTGACCGAACTAAAATGCCGGTGCATTCCCTTCTGCCCGCTTCTGCCTCCGGCGGCAGCAGGATGAGTTCGCAGCAGAAAGGCCAAACAAATCGGAGCTGCACAGACACTGCTTTCCTGGGGCAGCAATGTTTGGGGTAAAGACCGGAGTCTCAGTCAAGCTCCTGAGCGGCTTTTAGCTGATCATCACCCAGCAGCCAATATAAACTAAAGCTCTCATTTTTCCTGTTGGTATTTCAAGGGAAAATATGGAAGTAGGGAAAATAGGAAGGATAGAGCCTGGGCAGCAAAAAACGTTATTCCAAAAACAAAAAAGCCCAAGAATCCTGGGTCTCAGGTGTCAGCGCTAGGTCCTGCATGGCACGGCAGTTCCAGGAAAAGCCCAGACAACGTCTCTGACTCAGAGACAAGCATGCAGGGCCATAAAGCAGCAGCCACCATTCCTAAAAGGATCAGGCTATCAGATCCCTGTCTTCTCCTCTCTCTTTTAAAAGCCCAGCCAGCCCTCCCCTTCCATTACTGAGAATCAAGAAAGGCCATTACCAAGCAAATCGGGTGTGTCTTCAACTTTGTCCACTGGATCTGAAAGAGGAAAGCAAAGACTCAGGGCTGTGGGAGCTGCCCCTCAAGAAGGCAGGCCCGCTGGCCAAAGGCGCCCACAGCACTCTGGCCCTATCCTCACCCGGATCGAGGCCCTGTTGCAGTAGACCCGCGTGATGGCTAACCAGGTGGGCAGCTCCAGCACATTCTGTAGAACCTCTTCGTCCAGCTCCAGGTTGGTCAGCTGACCCTCCCCTTTCAGAGTGCTCAAGTTGATTTTGTCCGGGGAAAGATTCTTAGTGAACCTGAAAAGAGCAATTTTAAAAAAAAGCTATTAGTTTCATAAACATCTGCTAAATGGACATTCTACCCGTAATGCTTCTGAATTTGGAGAAGAGAGAGTGAAAGAACTGACCGTGCCACTTCCACACCTTACAAGATGTCAGATGCATCACCCCGCTCCAGAACCTGTGACGGGGATCCTGGGGAAGTGGCTGTGACAGCGGCAATATAGTCTTTTGGTATTTCTGCCTCTCCTCTTAAAAGCAGACAGAAACACCAGACAGCAATGCAAAATGTCCATGGATAGTATTTAAAACAAAATAGAAGATAAAATATGCTCAGAAATCCCCATTACAAGCAGGTGGGGACAGTGTCGTGGACAGTGCTGTAGCAGCTGAGCAGGACAAGCTAAGGAAAGTACAAGCACATCTGAGGATGGGGAACCCCGAGAGCCAACGAGCAGTACGTGATCGGCAACGTGGGCCACCTTGAGAAGAGCAATGAAACCAGGAGGGGTTCTGTCCGTGGCAAGGGATCCTCAGGGAGGCCTCAAGAGGCTGGAGCAGCTGGAGGAGTCTAGCCATGTAAACTCATGAAACCAACTTTCCACATCTCCCTCCTAAGAAAGGAACCCCACATGGAAAAGAATCAAAAATTAGCAAGACAGAGGACCAGCAGTTAGGTAATGGCTATGTGGCTGGACTCCCATGTAGTCGACTGCGGTTCGAGTCCTGGACTCGGTGGCTTAAACTCACGACAGGCACGTGAGCGTGTGTGCCCAAGATCCGGAGAGGAGAATGGAGGAGAAGGGAGTGTGGTGTGGTCATCCCCCCTGGGGGGTGATTTCTCGCTCTCTGTCTCTCTGTCTCTCTCTGCCTTTCTTGCAAGCGTATGCGCCCTATAGCAAAAACCTCTCCAAAAACAAAAAAAGAGCAAGACAGAAATGGTGAAAAGAGATGGAGAGATGGTCCAAGTAAAGGCGGGGGGAGGGGTAGCCAGGAGATCACGGAGCGCGGGCTGTCATGGTTTTAAACACTACTCAAAACAGAAGAGGGAGCTCTGTGAAGGCAGAATAGGAACCAGCGACAGGCTGATAATTGGTTTGTTCAGTGCAGTGAAAGGTAATCCCAAACACACACACCTTCCATGTGGTGAAACGTAATCCCAGACACGCACCTTCCACGCTGTGCTGAAAGATCAGCAAACCACTGACAGCCTCCCCAAAGGGAGTGAGCCTTAGTCTCATCAGGCCAGTGGGTCCGGCTGCTAGTGTGGAGGCGGTACAGAGGGCCGGGGAAAACTGCTGACCTACACGTAAGTGTGCAGCCAGCAAAACCCAGGCCACAGCAGACTGCAGGTCAGGTGGCCTGGACATACGCAATTCACACGGGCCAGTCTTCCCACGATTCTGCGCCAGTCTTTTTCGCCAATGGGCTCTCGGCACCCATGCCCTTTCCTAAAACAGATCACTGTCTGTCATTCAAGGCCCACCTAAGACATCTCACAGAGGCCTTCTTTCCCTGAGCGCTGCCATTTTTATTTTTATTTATTTATTTATATTTTTTAGAGGGTACGTGCAGGTGCTGGAGATGAACATTGAAGAAGGGGGGAACAAGAAAGTACCCTCCCAATGGGGGATGTTCACGCTACAGTCCCTTCTCCTCCACTTCTCCTTTAGGGACTTGGGGCATGCATGCAAACGTGCCTGTCCTGTTCTTCAAGCTGCCAGGGTCAGGATTCGAGTCATGCATTTGGCCATGTAGGATACTAAGCTCTTTTCTCCTCCACTCCCGGAATCTGTAATACACATTTAGATCACAGGTAGTCTTCAGACAGTCTCCCATTTTCTGCTGTGTAAAGACCCCTGCTCAGTTAGGTATTAAGCCCTTTGAAGTCAAGGGCTTAGTCTTGGCCATTTTTCTTTGTCAAAATGGCTGTCTGACAGAATGCTGGGCCTCTTAGCTAATCGCCCTGCTGGCTAACTGGTCTCCGCTGCCTTCTCTCCTCTTTTAGGCTGGATCAATTTAATGGCCAGTTCCTCATAGCATAACCCTCTCTCCTATATGACAAACTGCAGATGAACCTCATCCTTAAAATTCTGGGACCAGCGGATGGCGTAGCAGTTACGTCACTGGACTCCCACAGGCTGACCATGGTTCAAGTCATGACATGAAAATTATGCTGGGTGCATGTGCATTTGTGCCCCCAGATCCCTGGAGGAGAATGGAGAAGGGATGGCAGCGTGGCCAGCCTCCCAGAGGGTGATTTCTCATTTTCCTTCTCTGTCTCTGACTGACTCTCTCGCTCTATGGCGAGCACACATGCCCTAAGGGAAAAACCTTTAAAAAAAATTCTCACTGTTGCTGACTTCCAGTCACTCTTGTCCACCCCAGACAATGAACTGTATTTTGTTCTTTTAACCATGACTATACTTAGCCTTTACATACATTAGATGCAAATAGTCTAATTTTTTACAGATTTATTTGTTGCTGTTAATTTTTTTTTTTTTTTAATTTGAACAATGAGGTACAGAGAAAGAGAGAGAAAGGAAAAGTAAGAAAGCAAGCTGCTGGGTTCAGGACTCAAACCATGACCACGTGGGTCAGCCATGTGGGAGTTCAGCACCTTAACCACCGCACCACCTGCCAGCTCTGCTAATAGTTCACTTTAAAGTTATATATTTGGGACCAGCAGTTGGCGTTATGGCTATGTTGTTGGACTCCCATGTAGCCAACTGTGGTTCAAGTCCCAGACTCGGTGACTTAAATTCACACCAGGTGCATGTGCGTGCGTGCCCAGGATCCCGAGAGAAGAATGGAGGAGAAGGCATTGCGGCATGGCCATTCCACCTGGGGGTGATTTCTTGCTTTCTGTCTCTCTGTTTCTCCCTGTCTTTCTGGCTAGTACACGTGCCCTACAACAAAAACCTCTTAAAAAAAAAAAAAAAGTTCTGTATTGAACACTTTTTCACATATATCCTTTCCTTTAACTAGGTTGTGCTTTAGTCTTTTTGTTTGTCCCCTTAGCATAGATTATGACATCCAAGAGTTTTATCTTTGTGATTATTTCTCAACAGCGCCTAAAACGGTACTGTATAAAAAGGTTGTTTAATACTTTTTTAAAGAAAAATCCCTTTATCAGGGGTAGATGGTAGTGCAGCAGTAAAACACCATGCTCTGCACGTGTGCCCTTACTGAGGGCTTCTGCGTTCAAGTTTAGAGACCTCCCTGGGTGCCCCTTGTGTGTACGTCCCTGTGGCTGGGCTGGCTGGGGGTGGGTCAGTGTCAAAACCCTATGGGGAGTGCCATCTCTCTGGCTCATGCAATTAATAATACATAGACTTTTTAAAACTTCTTTTCAGAAGTTTATCAATATGCTAAGCAGTATTGGATATTAAGGGATACATAAGAATGAACTGGCAGGGTTAGCAGGTGGCAAAAGGGTTAAGGCACTGGACTGCCACATGGCTGATCATGGTTCGAGTCCCAGACCTGACAGCTTGAAACTCATGCCAGGTGCAGATGTATGCATACCCAAAATCCTAGCAGGAGAATGGACAAGGGATTGCAGCAGGGCCATCCGCTTAGGGGGTGATACATCGCTTTCTCTTTCACTGTCCCTCTATGGAGAGTGCACACACCCTACAGCAAAAACCTTTTAAAAAAAAAAGAAAGAAAAAGAATGTACTGGCATGATAACAAGGAACTCAGGGATGTGTTACCTATAGATAAGGAGGCTTCAACTGCATGGTAACGCATATTTCTCAGGTTGGAAGGGGACTGTATGCTGTTCTTTATATTACTCCCTGCCTTTTCGTATGGCAAATATTTCTTTTTTCTTTTTTTTAAAGAATTATTTTATTTAACTTCATTTATTTTACTTTGACCAGAGAGGAACAGAGCAAGAGAGAGAGAGAGAAAGAGAGAGAGCAAGCAAGCAGGTACAGGACTCGAACCATGATTGGCCATGTGGGAGTCCAGCGCCCTTAACCACGCCACCTGCCAGCCTCATGTCTGGCAAATATTTCGTAATAAACTTCTCTAAGACTTTTTTTTTTTTTTTTGTAGAGGTTTTCACTATAGGGCATGTGTGCTCGCCAGACAGACAGAGACAAAGAGACAGAAAGTGAGAAATCACCCCCTGGGGGGATGGTCACGCTGCAATCCCTTCTCCTCCGTTCTCCTCTTGGGATCTTGGGCACGCACGCACACGCACCCGGCGTGAGCTTTAAGCCACCGGGTCCAGGAC